TTCTTCCTCTGGAGTGCCGATGGGAGGCAATCAGCCCTTCGAATGCAACAGTCAAGCAAATACGCGGGTGCTACGAATGATTCCACGCTCTGGGAGCCCAAGTGAAGTCTCCAACCGCGCCCGCGGGACTTGCGCGACTCACAGGTTTCCGAGAAAAGCGCATGCATCAAGCCCGCGCCCTGTAGGAAATCCTGCGAACGACAATCGAACACCAGGGAAGCGCGAGCCAGGCGAACCAGCGACATCGCCAACCTGACAGCGTGAACGTCGCAATAGCCGACCGCGAAGCGCGAATCACACACACACAAACACACACACACACACACCACACACCACACACCACACACCACACACCACACACCACACACCACACACCACACACACAACACACAACACACACACACACCCACACAACACACACACACACCATTTTTGGCGGTCGCGGCCTCTCGCGCAGCGACGAGGCGGAGTAAGTCGCACGCACACACATACGCAAAACACACAGACACACCATGTTCCGTCAAACAAGGAAGTGCTGCTTGGTAAAGCGCCGAATGCGTGGCCGACTGCGAGGTCTACAAGGGCGATGAGCACTCAGAACCGAAGCAGGAAAGAGGAAAATAACAGCAGCAGCAGGAGCAAACGCAGCGACCGAGGGAAAAATTGACAAACAGACCGAAACACTTGTACACTAATGGACACATTGGTTCTTCCTCCGCGACGTTGAATCAACAGCCGGCCGACAGTTTGCGGGATGCGCGGGCTAAGCTCCACGGATCTCATTGACATACATACACACAAGGTGTCCTTTGATGCGGGGACGGACATACTAAACGAGTTCAAGCTGAACTGACACAAACACACACACACACACACACACACATACACACGCGCACACACACACACACACGCAAACGCACACACACGCTCATACTGTCTCAGCAGGATCATAGACGCTGCGTGCTGGGCACCGCTATTGGTTCGCTTCGAACGCAAGTTCGGCCCTGCGCAGGACGCAGAATAGGCAAGGGAACAACCGCAGAGCCAAGACGAAAGCCAGAGCGCGCCGGGAGAGTCCGGGCCTCCGCTTTTAGTACACCATCCACCGATCTGTCCCGTGGGCCAGCCAGGGCAGTCGTACACGATCCTTTTGATAATTGTTTCTCGGTGCCCATCGCCCGACTCGGGCCGACGGCCCGCAGGTGGTTGCGAGACCGCAGCACAGCGCGGTCAGCGAGAGCGCAGGGAGCAACAGTTGCAACAGCCGAAAGCAAACGCGCACACGCACGACGCTACACGGCAGAGCTCTCAATGTGGAAGGAGCGTGCAGGGGCAGGGCGGGGGGGGGGGGAGGGGGGGGGGAGCTTGGCGAGCGGCGGCGCGGGCGCCACGCAGCCGCGCGCCTGGGCTGCTCCGACGGCCAACTCCTGGTGCGCGCGGACAGGGAGGGCGGGAGGGCGGGACGGGCGGGAAGGGGAGGGGAAGGGGGGAAGGGGGGAAGAGGGGAAAGGGGACAGGGGAAGTGGGAGGTTGGGGACGGGGGCAGGCTAGGTGCGCTCGCGAGCCACATCTGACATCCGACCCATCTCCTCTCATTGCGCTGATATCTTCTCTATCCGCCGACGGGTGCCATAGCAGACCTGGATCCCCCAACTGACCCCATCGTGTGATGCACAATCAGAAAGGTACCTGTGAACATTGGAGGAGGACAAGGAGGAAGAGGAGGAAGAGGAGGGAGAGGAAGAGGAGGACGGCAGAGCGTCGATAATCACAGCTCGGCCATCTTATCGCCGACCACCTTTTGGCATATCGGCTGCTTGCTTCGCAGAGCGAGCAATCGTACGAGCCTCCGGCCGGGAAAATACGTGCCATAACGGCATCGAGAGTGTATGGCTGAGCTTCCTGTAGGAAGGGAAGGCCACCACAAGCTCACGGAAGCTCTCCTGGTCCGAGGGGCACAGGCGATTTAGTTTCTTTGTCTTTCCCCGAGAGGCTCCACGAGACCAAGTCCCGCCAGTCCCTCCCCCGGCGCTAGAGCCGATGGGACCTGTCTCGGGGCAACCCCAGCCCCCGGCTCGGGACCCCAGCGAATCTCGAGAGGGGCTCAGCTGCGAGGGGTGACCGGCAGACCTCCGCGAACATGCCGAGGAGCACCTCACAGCGGACACAAGGCTTCGGCGAGCCAAGCCCCAAGCCCCAGACGCGGCAGCGGGCGTCAAGGTTCCGCATCCGCGTCGAGGAAACCCACCCACCCGCTCCAGGTCTTGAAAGTCGCCATCCTCCATGAGGGTGGATCTGAGAAGGCCCACCTGCACTCCCATTCGACACGAGCCAGGTCCAACCTCTCAAAGCCAAATCATGCTCAGAGCTTGCGGTCGAGGACGGCGATGAGCCGTCCCCCAGGCCTGACACGGGACATCACGTGTCCTTCCGCAAAGGACCTAAGACCTGCGGGATCGAAGAGGAGGGGGAGGGGGAGGAGGACGAGGAGGCGGCCAAT